ACAATACCTCCTATTAAAAATGATGAATTAGATCAAAGGAAACCAATATTTAGGGATATCAAGCCACCAATATTTGCGAGAAAATATAAATGATTATTTTGACTTTTTGCTATTATTAATGATTTTTTGACTAATATATTTTATTATTAATGATTTCACTCTGATGTAATCTAATTTTTTTGATTAATGCGATCATTTTTTCAATCAATTATAAAGTTTATAATGAATGACAAAACCATAATTTTTTATTTCCCATTTCTCATAATATTCAGATGTCTTGCTTTAACCTTTCATCTTTTTTTTCTTTTTCATAACAAATATCAACATGATTAATTGTAGTTTTTTGTAATAAACAAATGCTTTTTTATTCCTTTTAATTATAATTTCATATTCATAATGATAACAAGTACCAACATTATTATCTAAATTAGATCCTTAAAGTCTTAATCAATAGCAATAATTGTACCTAAATAAAGTTCATTCATTGTTATTATGCAAACAGACTATCACGTGCGTTAACGGAAGTGCCTTTTTCTTACTGGTACCGCTACTATTGCTATCGCTATAAAAAAAAAAAAGCTAAGCCTTTTTAGAAATATTCATTCATGTATGATAATCCTGATGATCATATTATTTACGTCACGATATGTCCCGAATTTTTATGGTCTGCAAGAATTATAATTTAATAAATTTGCTAATACTAGAGTTATGTGTGATTTTCTTTCTGACTTGGGAGTGTGTATTATTTCAGAATTATAAGTCGTCGTTATGTTGAGTTTAATACGTTGGATTGAAAGGCTTCTATAGGTAATATAGCAGCATTATTGCATCGGCTATAGATACACCATGAGAAATATTCTTATTAAATATTTATACCGTGATTTTTTTGTACTGAAATTGAAATATATTTACAGTTTTTTATGACATTACTACAGCAATACTACGTCTGAGTTTGTAATAAAATTTGATGATTCAAGATTTAGTAAGAATGTCAAAAGTGGCTGATAAAATGTTTTTTTTATGCCAAAATTGACATAATGAAATTTTATTCCTTTATTGATCATTTACATGAGAAAAAATTAACTACTCATAAAAGATCGTCTTATATAAGCTTATGTTGCAAACCTTCAACATAAGTTTTCGACACAAAGATTTAGATATATTTTTTCTACTTTGTATTAATGAAAACATTAATTTTTAGGCAAAAATTATGATATCATTGTTGCTTAATTAGTATGGGACTGCCAAATTTTGTGCCATCTATTCTAAATTACTTGTATAAATATCTTAGTTCTAGAAATATTTTAATAAACCATGGTAGACCTCTGTTTACTGATTTTGGAATATCAAAGTATATAAAAGATATTACTTTATCAACATCACATTTAATAGACATGGCTGCATATATTGAACTTCAATGCTTTTTGCAACGTGAAAAAAAAATTATATGTGATGAACGATCCGATATATATAATAGTTTGGGTGTGATAATGTGGGAACTTACAAGTGGAAAATCTCCATTCTCAGATTTGTCCAAAATTATATTATTCCTGTCAGGATTTTTCTTGGGGAACAGGAAAAGATGATTCCTGGTACTCCTCAAGAATATTTACATGGATTATTGGTCTTCGGAGCCGGAAAAACGTCCTAAATTAGTTAGAATTTTAAATGACCTTGATAATTTATCAACAAAAACAATTTGCAAAGTTATCATTAATGATATTTCATACAAAAAATAGGTAACTTTATCAATTTTAAATCGATTATTTTGAATTAAATACTCATGAATTCTATATTATATGTCTAAATGAGCAATAACCAGGAAGCAATCAATTAAATTTTAGTTACGACCGTTTTTTGCTGATGCTAAACAGAATGTATCAAAAATTCAATTTGACAAAGAATCACTTATGAATAAACCTGAAGAAGTTAAATCTAATGATGTACATGTGTTAGAATCCAGTAGTGTATACTATAGAGGTATCACTTATTGATTTGATAATTGCTTGATACTAAAATTAAGCATCTTCGTTTGGAGAACGTTAAAGTCAGTAGATATTTAATCCAATCTGCTAGATGAAACAAAAAATAAATAAGTATATGAAGAAATAAATATACGAAGAAATAGATATTAAAGACTCAATGCGATGTCTTTTAACTAATAGATATTAACATATAATCTCTGTTTTAACCCTAATTTAGTCAAATTAGTGTTAAAACATTACATTATCTAGCTTTAATGTTTTAACTAAAATGACATATGATGCTTAATTTCTGACGCATGCTATAAGTGTAAACAATCTCTTAAAGATAATTTTATTTATTACAGAACAGCCTATATTTGAAAATGCAACACTGATATCCGCCGCACAAACTGTTTTCAAAACTTCTAATGCTTTTACTCCCGAAGCTAAGGATAAGAAACTTTTAAGACTACTAATTCATTTATTTTATTCAGAAAAACAAAAAGTTCGGAGATTCGGGATAAAAATCCAAATGCTACCCTTTTTGAAATTTCTAAAATAATTGCTAAAATGTGGAATGAAGCATTGCCGAAAGAATGTTTAGCATTCAAAGAAATGGCAGAAGCAGTAAACCTTAAACATATTAAAGAAGATTCACCTAATAAGCAATATCTGCCTAATAAACAGTATCTGCCTAGTAAATATGGGCTAAGAAAAGTAAACTTCGGATAGATCAGTTAAGCAAAAGTTTGTAGTATCGAAGCAGAACATGTTTCCAAAATTAAATGACGATACTAAAACATTAACCAAAATCACTGAAATAAATAGTTCTCTAGATAATTCTCAACCAAAGCTTAATTATGGTATTTTTGCTGAATCACACCAAACTACTAATTACAATTATTTAAACACTCGGATTATGCAAAACTCAATCATACAGATTTAAATTTTATTCAACAATCATAATATTCATCAGTGGATTCATTAGGGTTACCTAATTATTTTAATCAATCATAATGCATGAAGACTTATAAGTAGATGCACGATATTGTCGCGTTAATCAAGGAATAGATTAATCGTTTATAGTACACAAATTGTTTTAGAATAGTCAATTACAAAATTAGTCAACATTTTATTTTTCAATTTCCATGTAATATAAATTAATTTATTACACTGTCATTACTGTTTCATTGATATAAAAAAAAAAGTTAATATTTGAATTATAAAATTTTTTTAATAAAATATTCTATAACGCATTATGAAATACACAGATAGACTTTTAATTAAATTCATGCATTCATTTATGCAATACGGTCATGATCCGGCAACCTGTGATCATTTCTAACCCTAGCAATCCACATACAGGGGTCATCACAACAATAAAAATTTTATAAAATAAATTATGTTGTGTATTCGAATAATGGTTTTGGACCATTCAGAAGTTTTATTTTTAACAGTAATATCTGTGATAAAAGTCATAGAGATGGGCAATTCTAATTGAACATACAGCCATCCCCCTCTAAAGTCACCCTCTATAATCACATCATATAAAAACCCTCTTATCACATTCTATACTCAAAACAAATTACTATTAAACATATAAAAAACTACATAAGCACAACCTCTTTATAAGTACATTTTTTTAAAAAGTTATTAAGTAAACAAAACGTGTGATTATAGAAGGGGGTTAACTGTATTAATTTAATAATATTGATTTTGTGAATAAAAATTAAATTTGCCAGCTATCTAATAATCCAATTTGAATAAAATTTTTTTAATTTGTAGATTCTATTGAGATTTACAAATAAAAAAAATATTATTTTAATTTTTATTCACAAAATTAACATAGAAAGTATATATTTTGGCCGATTTGTTGTATTGAGGAAGACCTATCACTAATCTATAGTAACTGTAATTAATTTTCGTTAGTGACGAATTAATAAATTAATTTTCTTTAACTACCACGTAGAGCTCTGCATACATATCTGATATTTTAAATAGTTAAATTATGTATTTACAATCTAACAATCTTGAGTTCAAAAAACTGCAATATGCGTAATTAGCTTTTATCGCTTATAGCTTGAATATTAAAATTATAAATACAAAAAGAAACATCCTCTCAACAAATTAAAATGCATGCATTTTTATTTTACTGTTAAGTTCAAAGAATCAAAATCCTATTGAAAAGTGCTATTCATGTAATAATACAAAAAATTGGTCTTAAATATCAAATTATGAGTCCATATAGGTTTAATTTAATATTAATTAAGTTGGCGAGAGATGGGACTAACAATATGAAAAATAGTGATTCTTGATTTTTAATAATATTTTTTTTCAATGATTCACAGGTATGATATTTGAAATTTTAATTTTTAAGTCCCATTACTATTCTTGAGTAAAGAAACCAAAGTAATAAAAAGAGGTTATTTAAAAACTACCCACAATACGGATACAACTCTTATGACAACTACTAAAGCAATTGCTGTTGTTAATAATACTATAACTAGTGACTCTATACAACTTATAGCACAACAGACCACCTACGTATTTATTACATTAGCTGTAATCACAGTAGGAATAACATTACTTATTGTGACATATATTGCTTGTCATAAATGAATACTTAAAAGAAGAAAACTTAATAATAATTCACAACAATTAAACGACTATATTAACGGACCTACCTTTGAAAACCAAGAACAATTAGACTACTACGTACTAGGACCAAACTATAAAGAAGTAAATAGTCTATTTGGAAATAAATGATTCACCTTATCAGTGAATTGAACCATAAATAATTAAGAAGATGAGGATAATATTTTAACTTTAACATCATGTAATATATCGTTGATCAGAATATTTATAAAATTATATCTTCTTTCCTTGGTTTTTTTTGAATAATATTTCTTTTCATAAATATATATTACACAATTCTTTCTGGTTTAAAAAGGGTTTCCTCCACCATCTTTTGTTAAAACAATTTTGTTATATTCCAATTATAAAAAATCAATATTTCAATATTTAAAGAATTTGGTAAGATATGCTTTATTTCCATGCGTAATACTGTCAATGAAATAGAAGTCTGATTATTTCTCTCACCTTCCTTGATAAATCCACAAACATATAAATTGCCCGTGTACACATGGATGCATAGTTTCAAAGCACTCTTTTTTTGTTTTTAATGCTTGCCGAGATCATTATAATGCAGCCATTGGGTCATTATTTTTACATCGGGTTAGTATTTAATAATATAAGTTTTATTTAAAATTACCTTAATTTTAAAGTGAAATATTATTGTATAAGTAAAATCTGGCATTTTTTTAGGATTACATACTTGTTTTGGAGTAGAAATTATAATAGCAATCGGATTTGGATCAATTAGAAATCCCAAATTTATTTTAATCCAATTTCATTATAACATATTTTAAATGTTAATAAATTCTTTCCTTTTATAAGAAATTGGAACCACAATAATTTATAAAACTTTTTCATTGTACAGGTCTTTTAGCATGCAAATTTATATTAAACAAAAACTTACATTAAATATTAGCCTATCATATTTGAACAAAAAGGAGCAAAAATTTTGAACAAAAAAGGTTCTAATTCTTTTAGTTTTATTATTTTAAAACTTAGAAAGAGAAAGAAAGTTTACAAACAAAGATTAGAATGGTGTATAACTAATTCATGTGTTTCTTTTATATTATCAACAAAATCCTTCAATTTACAATTATTTATGATAAAGGAAAAAATATAGTTAGACGAAAAATTTTTGAATTCATTGTGTTGATATTCCATCAGTTTTTTAGCAAAATTATTCAGTGCTAATTTAGCATCTTCTTCAGTTTTTATTTTTTTGTTATTTATTAATTCAGCAAATATTGGTGGCTTGATATCCCTAAATATTGGTTTCCTTTGATCTAATTCATCATTTTTAATAGGAGGTATTGTTTCTGTAAAATCTGTACTTAAATCTTAAGCGTGACTTTGAGAAGAATGATGTCGTATGATTATTGGTCCTTAAAAATATAAAATAGTATCAAAATAGAGTATTTCTGTATTTGAATAGGTGAAACATCGGAATTCTAATAGTTGTTAGACGAAACCATGTGATGATAATCATCACCTGACATAAAATACCAAGACCTAAAAATTTAATCTAGTTTTTACTAAGTTTTGAAATATAACATTTAGCATAACATGGTTTCATCTAACAACCATAACTTACCTACGCAAGTAGCATAATATCCACGAGTGGAATGAAATATATAAAGACCGTGATTACCATTGAGAAATATATCTTTTTCATATACAACATACACATGATTGTTTTGAAAACAATAAATTCCATTTGTATAGTCAAATTTTCTTGAAATTTGCAAATAATTATCTAAATCAAAAAAATCTTTAGTCGTAACTAATGTCATTTTTTAAAAATCTAAATTAATCTTTCAAAAACAGTTTCTAAAGTAATAAGGTGGCTTTATATATTTTCTATTTATTAATTATACAAGATTAGATTAACTGGATTGTAATAAAATTTTCATTTCGATTACAAATTGAAAATTTCAATTAACAAGAATAATATACTTTCAAGAATAATGAAATTAAAGTTCGATCTATATAATTAATTTTAACTTAATTGATTGAAAGTGATGTTAGAACATAACCTAGCGGACTCATTGGTCCGTGAAATTTTGTGATCATTGAAGATTCGCTTCAGAAAGAGATATGACCCATTATTCACTGAATATAAATTTATTTATAAAGTTCAGTGAATATTCAATAGATTATTAATAAATTTATATTCAGTGAATAATGGGTCACATCTCTTGCGATTTTTAAGGAGCTAGTTGCAATTTATATAAATTTCAATATATTAATGCTGTAAAATAATTGTTAATATAAAATTGTTCGTATGTTAATAGTATAGTTGGAGAGACAAGAGATAATACGTAAAAACAATTCAATACCCGCATCACAATTTTATATTATTTCTATTGACGGCCCAACTAATAAAATTTTTTAAAAAGAATTAATTTGAATTGAACTTACCAATTGGATTTAAAAAAAAATCAATTCAACTAAAGATTGAGCTGTGAATTACCATATAAATAAACTGTAGTTTATTCGTTTTATTCACACCATTATGGGTAGTGTCGTGCTGCGGCTCCAACTCTACGTGCCCATAAGCTAGACTGAAGTCAGGCAACAAAAGAAAAAAGTACTATCGATTTCCCTTTCCCTAAATAACTTCTTAAATTCTCTTTTAGCTCTAAATTGTAACTTATTCACATTTACGCCTTTGAGTTTAATAATTTTACTATTTTTTTTCGATGCTTGTTATAACAATCCAAAGCCTCCTCACATCCAATATAACGAATTATTTGGAAATTCGAAATTTACAGTCAATATAAATTGTAATGTAAAACTATAGCTGACTGTATTTTTTTTAAAAAATAAATTTATTTGTAGTTTGCGTCTCTAATTTTTCATGAGCTAAATAATACTAAATTAATTGCACAGAAACAAGCTTCCATTAAACTGTAATAGTTTATAATTCGCTATTCAAAGAAAAATTAATCAGGAAAAATTAATTGGAATGATTCTGCAACATTTATAGCATTAATAAAAATTTAGCACATCTGTAAAACTTCTCTAAACTCAGTTCGTTCTCCGACAGCTTCTTGGTGCTATAAGAGAACGAAAAAAGTTACAAATAGTGTTCCAAATTGAAATCAATTAATCGATTAGTTAATAGAGTTGTCAAGTTAATTTTATTAGACAACTAATTCAATTAATCGATTGATTACATTTTTTTGGGCCGATTCACTAGTTATCTATCCAATCAATACAACTATATAGTTAGCTTCATGATTATATGATTACTTTGTTGGAAAATGAAAACTTAACTTTGAAATGAATAAGATTAAAAAAAAAAAATAGGTAAAATTACGAAGAGGGAAAATGTTACTTGAATTAATATTAAATAAAAAAATATTTTATCAATAAATATAGTCGACCAAACATGGCAATTTAAAAAGTAAAAAAAAAAAAAGAAAGAAAAGGTTGTTAAAACCACGAATTATAGAATAATTTCACATAGATAATAAGTCAATTTGTAATTTTAACTTGGATTTATATTGGTTAAATAAATGTCCCAAGTATTTATTCGATTATTTGAATTATGCTAATCTTAGTCTCGCCTTTTATCTTTTTCATCTCGTATCTCTCTAATGCATAGGTTTCATAATTTGCGTTAGCCAACTCCTTTGCAAAAGTATGTTGAAGTTTTTCACTTGCTTCAACTGCATTATCTCTACTTGCCCAAATATCATTAAAAGTTAGTATTCAAATGCCAGTCATTTTTATTCTTTGTTTTATTAAAAAAAGGTTTTTAATGTATTGACTTGTTCGTAAAATAATTACAGTATTAAATAAATTTTGATTAAATAAATTTTTTAATTTCTAGTACTTGCAAAATTTAAATTCAATTTGCTATTAATTAAATTCAAGCAGTACAATTACATTTGAATTTAATTTTAGCTTTTATTTTTAAAATGCAGAGAATTATAAATTTAATAATACAAATACAGAAGAATTGATATATCTTGACTTTAGTAAATATGAAGGTACTGTATTCTAAAATTAAATCTTTTTTTCTTTTTAAATGAAAAAAAACTATAAAATTTTAAACAGATATTTAAAATTCAACCATTTCTCTAGTGGCAACACTTTAATTGAAAAAAAGAAACATAATTATATTATTTCATTAGGTTCGCAAATTACCATATTGGTCAACTAAATTATAATTTTCCATTGGTCAAATTTATTTTTTGAAGTTTTAATTAAAATTAAAGTTAGGGAGGATAGTTTAGTGTTAAGGTTAGGATAAGTGCAGGTGGATGTATATAACAATAAGTTGTTTCGCATACATTATGTAAATATACTCTTGTCAAAAAAAATATAAAAAATTTGTTTAATTTAAGCTAATAATTGAATTGTTGAGTCAACAATTTGATTGAGATATTATTCGGTGATTGAAACTGTCTATCGTGTTATGATTTCCGGCGGCATTACGATGTTGTGAAACAACCTCAAGAAGTGAGTGATCGTTTTTGTCAATAAATCCTACAATTAGAACTAGATGGAAGATTCTTTGAAATGCTTAATGAATCTCATTTCATATGCGTATTTCGATACCAGTTAAATATTAAGGTTTCAAAATATATTTATAAAAGTTTATAAAAGTAATAAATGATTCTGATAGTTTATATACAGTGATATGTGATTGATTTATAACACTAATTGCCGTCATGTCATCATATAAACATAGAATAACTTATTTATTCCCAACGTCCCGGTGAATAAATAGTACTCCCACTATGATCATATGATCTAACTAGTAATGCAAACGGCTGGCTCATGGCTAATATTAATCAAGCCGAACTGACCTTTGGATTCTAAACTAGAGCTGAGCCGTTTATAAGCCGCCACCGTCAACCTTTAAGCTGACAACTTCAAGCTGAGAGACGTTACTTTAAAGATAAAGTAATGTATCATACTTTTTTTTTTTAATTTGTTTGATTTTTTAAATAAAACATTAGGGTTTTTACTCACAAGAGCTTAGTATTGTAAGATATTTTAGTAACCTTGTGTTGCATATTGTCAAAGATTAAATTGAACAATTAAAGTTGTTAATTTGTAAGTTGAATGATTTTGCAAAAACGTGAATTTTTTTATTAAATCTTTTAACAATTCAACATCTGATAAAAAATTCAATCAATTTTTTTTAAATCAATTTTTTGCAATAAATTACTACCTTAGATTTCAAATTTAGGATTATTAATGAGTGGCAACATATAAATTTTTATATAAATATAAATTTCAGGAGGTTTTCTTCACTCATAGAGTTGAAAATATAAAACATTTCATAGTTAAAAAAAACATATAATTCATGAGAAAAGCACAGTCACATAAGAAAAAATTAGCTGAAAATGTGGCTGACATTCAAGAAAAACTAGAGATATTAAAAGCAAAAAAAAACTACATTAATGATATGTTAAATGAAGCCCATAGAAAAAAACCAAATTTGGACTAATTAACGAAACTAAATTATATGGGCCTAATATTATTTCTCGAGGAAGAAGTCAATAAGATAAAAATTGTGAACTGCAAAAGAACTTAATATCGTTGATTCAAGCAAATGAACAATTGCTAGCCGAAATTTTCAAGTTAAAGAGTCAAATATGCTTAATATCAAGTATTGAAAATAAAAAATCACAAAATAAAAAAATTGAAGAAAGTTTAAAACTAGGCAAAGAAAAAAATAAAGATCAAATAGGAAAAATAATAATCCACACTAAGAATCTGAAAAAATTTATCTCAAAAAATTTTATAGAGTTGGAAACCTACGTTGGGAACCAGATTAAAGATGAAACAATAGAATTGTTGGTGACAGAGGAAATCAACCAAAAAATGAAAGAGATACAAGCTAATTGGAAAAAAAAAGAAACTCACATGAAAAATAATAATGAAAATTCAAGATTAATGAGAGTGTCATCAATTGAAAATGACAAATGTATTAAAAATGAAGCTATATATGTAGAGGATTTAAAAAATGTAGAAACAGAAGTAGATTCCCTTACTTCTAATCTAGAACAAGTTTTTAAAGTCACAGCAAAATCTTGCAATATAGAAAAAATACAATATAAGACCAAAAAGACAAACCTAGATACGCAAATTAAAAATTTGAAAAAAAATGATAATTATAAAAAGTTAGAAAAAATATTAAGTGATTTAATAAGTGAAAATAACAAATTCGCAAAAATAGAATTTGAAAAATATAAAATAATAAATCGTTGTGAATTGAAAATTTGTAGTTTTGAATTTCTAATTGACCTGGAAAAAAAAATAAAAATTAAAGAAGATCTAACCAAATTAGAAAAGATAATTAAAGAACCCTAATAATTTTATAGTCATAGTAATTCACTTAAAGTGAAAAATCACGAGGATATCAAAAAAATTTTATAACAAAATGAACACCCTTCCAAGCCTTTAACTACTACGTAGCATTGTTTTAATAGAAGAATGTAAATATGATCCAATAAAAAATTTTTCAATTTTTTTTATTGAAAATAATTTGATACTAATATTATAATTTATCTTATGCGTAATAAATTTAATTATATAACTTTTTATAGGCCTCTCTAAATGCACTGTCATAAGTGCACACATCTCAAAACGAAATTTTTTTATCAGTGTATTAAGATCATATACTTTAAATAAAATTGCTATCATTAATTAGAAACACGAATAATACACTTTTTAAGCCAATAAATAATTTAATACAATTCATATTTTTTAAAATTATTAATTTTTTGCCTAGCCTTTCTACGACTATTATTGTATTTTGTGATTTTTTTATCTGCAATCTCAGATAAACTTTTATATTCATTTTAAATATGTTTCCAAATTTCAAGATCATTTTTCACTCTAAGGAGTTGTTCTAGTTTATTAAAATTTCTTCTTTCTTTAAATCTTCTATTTTTTTTTTATTTGTAACTTCTTCACGGAGTTTAAAAGCATATTCTTCATTACCAGTTTCATTATTGCAATAAGCATAATCACTTTAACATTTATGTAATAATCAGGAATTTCTAAAATTGGTTACTTTCTTTTAAATAATTTATTGGATTTAATATATTTTATGTAATAAAACGCGCTGGGGTATTATTTTGAATTTTGGGCTAAATTCGGACCACCATTACTCAATAAAGTGAGCCCACAGCAAAAGTGGATGGGCCAAAAAATTAGATGTTCCAAACAATCTGATATTATATTTTTTTAGTTCATCCCATATGCGCGTGCTTATGGATATTAATATATTGAAAATACTTTAAATGACGTAGTTGAAGTTGAAGTTATTGGTGTTCAATTAAATTATTAACTATTTTATACAAAATATCTGGCTTCTTACCATACAATAACTTAATTGAAAAATTTTGAATTAATTGTAGTACTGTATTTATTTTTTTGTTATTGTTACTTATATTTAATGATCAAAATTATTTAATGCTAATTAGCATTAACAACAAAAAATATAGAATAAATTGATATTATATTTATTGAATTTTTTAATAAAAATTAAAATTCAAATGTAATCCGTGACATTAAAAAATATTATTCAAAAAAGACACATATTGTACTAAATGCTTAAGATTTTGGTCATTATATTATGTTATCAAATTTGACAGTCCCATGATTTTTACCTAATCTATTACTATATTAGTACCCTCTTTTTTTTTTTAAACTCAACAAATATCTAATTAAATTTGATAAAAATTTTTTAAAAAAGGGGTGCTTATTCATAATAGTGTCGTACCTGAAACCTGCTTGAAGTATTAAAATATCTCAATATCTATTTAATCAAATTTGCTTAAAAAATTTTTTATTTTAATCGTGAAATTATATAGAATTAAAATAAATAAAAATTAACTTTAAAACTATTAGTTAAAGATCCCTAATCAATGAGTAAATTTGCCTATGGGACCGTTAAATCTCGTGTCACAAGGAACTGGTAGATCCTCGATTTTGATTGGCTAATGCTGAGGATCTTCAAAATTCTGGCCCACATTACAAATTGTTTACTAATTTCAGGCCAGAATAACTTTTTAATTTTTCACGATAAAACTAGAAATTAGGCTTGTATTATCGTTATGGTAATATTCATCTATAGAGTAGTTCTGTAAATTAGAATATGGGCAAATGTTTTTTTTTTTAATTTACTATAAATTAATAATTTTGTGATAAAAAATATTTTTTGAAATCTCTCCTGAGCAACTTAACACATCATATTTATTTGTTATTTGTTAATGCTATCACGTATAGGGTTGGGGCACGGGGTGTGATTTCAAATCATCACATGGTCACGAGATCGTGATGATAAATTATGTGATGTTTACTAATTATTTCATATAATGTTTTAGGGTGTTATGTCGTACCCCATGTGAGGATTTTCTGTGCCCCAACCCTAACTGTTTGCTAAGCCACATTTTGATAGGACTAACAATACGAAGAATAGGTGATTCTTGATTATCGAATTTATAATACTTTTTTTTTAAGCTTCTTTGTTATAGGCTTGTACGGGTCATGTAACAATCCGTGCTCATTTGTTATGTTCGCACAGGTCTATATAGTTATATAATAGATAATAGTAAATCCAGTTGGTTGTTGGAGATTATCATTTTGTTAACTCATGAAAGAATTATTAATATTAACATGAAAGCTTAACAAATAAATATATAATTATTTTAATTATTTAAGTCTTGAGAACTTTATCAAGGACTGTTTCAAACTCAATATCATTGGCTTCGGTGCCTTCAATTTGAAATGAAATATCAAGTTTGGTTTTTAATACCTCTTTACTTACAGCTGAGATAGTTTTATCTTGTATATTGGCATTTGCAGGAATCCTACAAAAATAATTCGTACATTACTTTATTATACAAATGTTATAACCCTCTTTTTGTAACATACCAAGAAATAAATATAATTTTATTTCGACGACCTTCACCAGGCTTCTAGAATGTTCGAATTTGATTGCTAGAATGTTCGAATTTGATTGGTCAGATGTCCGAAATTGGATACAAAACCGATATCTAATTATACCCAGAACAGAATTATACTTAAAATTTGTCTAAAGTTTCTTGAAAAATTGATTTTGTCTTGAGTTATGTTTAATTTTGCCTGAAAAATATATCAGTTTTGTATACCAATTTCGGACATCTGACCAATCAAATTCGGACATTTTAGCAATCAAATTCGGACATCTTAGCGGCAATATCTCATGATCTTGTGATCTGAATTACATGATATTCATATCATTCACTCATCTTGGCATGACAAATTGAATGCGCAGAAGCTACGGACAGTTCTTAGGGACAGTTCAGTTAAAACCGCAGAAGCTATGGACAGTTCTTAGGACAGTTCAGTGGCCAGAATTAGGATTAGGATTAGGGTTAGAGTTAGCATAGGGTAGGTGGATTTAGTTAATTTTAGTCAGCATGCACTGTCCGTAAGAACTGTCTGTAGACTCGGCGAATCGAATAGTACCAATATCACGTGATTCAACCCACAAGATCACGAGATATTGCTGTCTGAATTTAGTGTTGTAGCTCTCCCACAAAAAATTTTGCCTCTTGTGATTTTTATCCAATTGGGATGTTAGGGTTAGAGGTTAGGGTTATGTTAGATTAGGGTTAAGTCACGTTGGGGGGTAGATGCATTAATTAATGTTTTTGTAGGAGATCTATAGGCGTTGTCTGAATTTGATTGCTAGAATGTTCGAATTTGATTGTCAGATGTCCGAAATTGGTATATACAAAAATCGAATAAAAATTTTTTTGAAAAATTGTCTAAATGGGCCTTTTAAATTTAATTTCTATTTTATTTAAATGTTATTAGACGAACTAATAAAATTTGGTTTCTGATTTTCTTTTTTGTACTGACATTGTTATTATAAAATCTATTATCAATTCAAATAATTATTAACATTAAAGTTAAATACATTTACATGCAAATAGAATTTACGCTCGAACTTTACAAGCTGTTTCAATTATCTGTAATGCATATGGATAATTTGATGGACAAATAAATGAGATAGGATCAATTTCGTGCATAGTTCTGATTGTATAAACGGCTTTTAAAAATTAAATTGAAAATTAGTTTCATCAGATGAGACTCAAATTTATTTTATATGAGAACTTACTTGGTAGAATAAACCATGGAAATAATAAAATTATAAAAATAGTCCTAGATGTGTTTTAAATTGAGTATTAGTATATATGGTTAAAATTTAAATAGATTCAGCAAAGTAGTAAAATACCTAAATAACAGTAATAACAAAATACCGAATAGAAACTAATTGCTAGAAATTAAAAATTGTAAATTTTTGTGCAAAAAATATTTTGAATAAAGAATTTGTAAAAATGAATATACCAGCTGTTAATAAAGTAAGTGAAATGTATCTAAAAATTATAAAAAAAAAGTAAATATGAATTTAATTATTTTTGATTAAGTTTCCTTGTTCTTACGCGTATTCAATTTCTTTATTATAATTAATGACACCTCTAGTTTGATCGAAAAGTCTAACCTTTGCCAATGCTATAATAAAAGAATTTAAATTCTAAATTATAAATTTACCAAGTGCTGGAGAAAGAAATGTGAGAATAAAAATTGGAATAACTAATAATAACAAATAAATAGTTCTTTTTACCCCTTCAGACATTTGACTTTATTTAATTGTCTCAATATATACCGTAAACAATATCATTTAATTATATTATATAATTAAAATTTATTTTCCTTTAAAACAATGCTTAAAACTAACGCGAAAAAAATATCGATGTAAACTGATGTAATCTTGTATATGTTATCAAAGTTTAATTTATCAAATGACAAGCCCCATGATTATTGAATAAAGTAAGTTGCTACTTCAATAAAAGAATTGATTTGAAAGTTATCTAATAGAAACAATACAAAGTTGAATTAATGCATCTTTAAACACGCGATAAAATTAATTTGTATGTGTAATATTCTTATTATAAATATTGATGTAATGGCTCCTTTCAGCAGTACTGTATTGTATAACGATAAATAAATTTGGAGGTGAGGTGTACTATAATAATCACTTAATGTAGTAAGGTAGAAACTCTTTTATTAGTTTAGTCGTCAATACTGCTAACTAGAAATTTAAATTACTAAACTAAAATAGTTTCTACGGTCTATATTAAGTGATTATAGTACACCCTCCAAATTTATTTATACACACACAATACAGCGCCGCTGAAAAGATTCAATGGGCATGTTTAAAACAAATTTAACATCTGGGCAAAGGTTTAGGAAAATGTTAAATTTTTTTCAAATAATACTGTATTCAACCGAAAATATTTATTTAAAGTCAAATTCACTTTCTAAACTTTATAATGAATAATATTTGAATTTTTTTATTATTTTCTTATTAAATAAAAAATTTCTTTAACCACAAAAATAACACCAAATTATCTATCTTCAGACCTGACGATGTTTCCTAAGGAAAGGCCAATAAGAAATTATAATTTTGAATTAAAGCGCCTAAAGCGTAATAAATGTGAGCAAATACGACGTGCAAAAATTAATGATTCCTTAAAAAAACTCAATTACCTACTGTCAGTTTATAAGATGAGTAAAGTTGAAATTTTAAATGAAGGTAGACATTCTTTTTTTTTATTATTTGATATATTAATGATTTGATATTTTTACAGTATAATTTGATATATTTATGATTTAATATATTTATTATTTGATAATTTTTAATCTTTTACACCTTTAGCGTGTGTAAGAATTGAATCATTAACAAATGAGAACAAACGACTAGAAAATCAAATCGGGTATTTAAGTGAAATTTGTCGAATTCAATCGAATGAAATCACTCGTTTATTGAACGAAATTAATTTATTGAACTATATTTGTCAAAGTCAATCAAGCTGGAACATTTTGCAAATTCAAATAACAAATTATATATCGTTATAGTTAATAATTTACCCTTAATAAAATTTTTAATTAGTAATGCTTATCGATAAATGATATAATAATTGCATAGTAATACTTATTATGTTATCTTGGTGTTGTCGCAATGCCGTAATTTGCTGCTATTCTTCGATTTCATTGGCATTTGTAATTTTTGTTTACACATTTTAAACTTTTTTTTTGACAGTCTATTTTAATGTGCCTCATTGCATTTTCGGCATTCGTTTTTGGGACAATTTCTGAAATGATGATCATAGCTTTGATATTTACTGCATGTATTTTGTTTATAAGAATTCATTATTTGTTAAATTATTTGAAGAACATTTACTTGAAAAGGGATATAATAAATTAATATTTTTTTACAAATCGTCCGTATTTATAAACTTTACAATATAATGTTAAATTAAACATTATCTAACTACATGTATTATTTTAACTCTAGAATAATTACGCGAATAATGATTGAGTGACACCAAGGAAATGTTTATTATTTACTGAACTCTTTGATTGAGGTAGTGCTCGGCAAAATCAAACTTTTTTTGACACTCAAATACATGTGTGAGTTGATTTTTAAATCAATACACTGTATTTATTTAAAAGTCAGCCCATTACATGTATTTGAGTGTTAAAAAAAGTTTGATTTTGCCGAGCAATGGATTGAATGACGCCTAGGAAAAGTTTATCACTTATTATTAAACTCACTGATCGAATACTGTAGGTATGATGTAGTGATGCCTGCTGCAAAGCCGCAGCTTTGCATCTTTCTAGACCTATTTGCGACCTTTGCGAACACCCTTTTTGTTTCAAAAAAATGCAAGATCTCAGAACCATAAGGTTGAAAGTTACTACACCAAGATGCAAAATCGCAAATCATATATATAATCGCAAGTTAACAGTCATGCACTAAATAAGTTGAATCAATACATCGATATTGATATTATATGTCATGGATTATTGTGAAATTGGATCATCGTGAAATTTAGATTTATTTTATATATGATTTTTAAAATTTTTTGGGGTCCTTTTTTTATATAGTTAAGTTAGGGTTTAGGGTTAGAATTATTAAAAAAAGAGTATAGGTGGATTTTGGTAGGGCTTATATTTTCAAATCAAGACCCCAAAATTTCAAGATGATCTGATTTCACGATAATCTGCGACATTATATAATAGTTTCAAATACAGATTAACAAAAACTTGTGAGAAACCTGAGACTTCAACAGGTCAAAATGCCTGCTTATAAACCAAATATTTTGTTCTAATAGTTTTTAAGAGTAATCAAATTTGAATTTACCAAAACATTATCAATTCAAGGTTATAATATACTGTATATAAGGATATTATAATAAAGATTGTTGGTATACTAAAAGATTCAAATTATTTAGGAAATTTATAATTATAATTGGATCGAACAATTTCCTTGTTTATAACAAAGTTATTCAATAATATTCAAGCAAAATATGCTAAATGTAAATTTATAACTTTTGTTCTGTATCTATTAGTATTAAAATCATTGTAATTCTATCACAATTAATGCATTATAATATTGATTGTAAAAAAAAATATCATAGCAAAACTTGAGCATTTAAATCTTGGTTCGAATGTAGGATTTTACTCCTACAAATATAAGTTTAGTGAATTTAATGTATAATAAAAATAAATCCATATTTAATTTTTAAAATTTTATCAAACCTCATCAAGCTTCATGTTTTCAATAATTGTTTGTGGATTATAATCTTCAAAGTTTTCTTCTCCATTACCGGAATTCTTATTATCAATCAAATCATCTTTATTATTGTTAGATGAATTAAAAATTTGCAAATTAAAATCAATGAATGTTTTAATTTCTAGTTCCAAATCATTTGCTGTAGTATTAGTTGAGTTTAAAGTAAGAAGTTGATCAATTTCTTCATCTTGAGAATCATCATCCTCTTCGGAATCATAAAATTCAGAGTTAGAGCTTAATTCATCATTTTCAATTTGTCGAGCTTTTGATTCAGTTTGTGAAATATTAAATCGATGAACTTTAGCAATATTCTCTAAAGTTTGAATATTCATTCGCTGACGTCATTTACCATAAAGCCAGCTTAGAGCTGAGAATATACATTCACAGGCTGCACTACTAGGTGTAATAGCAAAAGGCCGCATAGCAAGATATTGTAATTCATTTGGATTTACTTCACATGTTGTCCACCAGCTTAATGGAGTATCTTGATTAACTGTATAAGGCATAGCATATGCATTTGGTGTTCCATCAGGATGTTCTTGTATTTTATATTCTCGTAATTGAGTTATTAATGATTCAAAGCTTTCTTGAGTTTTTCCCAAAGACTTCCATAACATGCCGGCATGATAAACAATTTTAGGAAATATACCAAACTTAAGTCTAGCTCCTTTATATGCTGGATGTAAAAAAAAATATTAAAAGATAATTTGGATCATCAAATTCTTTATATCGTTGATTATACTTGAACACAATAATTTTCAAATTCACGATATTCTCTTTGTGGTAATTCATTAATTATAGCACCAATTTTAAGAAGAGCAATATAGCAATCAGCAAGATTAGATCGGCTTCCTTCTACTTCAAGAATTGCAAATTTAATTGGTGTAAGTATTTCTGTTAGATATTGTATATCATCAAAAAATCCATGGCTTTTTAAAATTGTAATAACTTTATTATTTGTAATTTGATTTGCAAATTCATCTCTAATTTATTCTAAACATTTTTTGAAACGTATAATTGAAGAAGTACACTCGTGAACTGTTGTCCATCTAGTTTCAGTATAATATTTAAGTCCACCACCAACAATTTTATGTTTTTCCATTTGAGTTCTTAATAGATTATTTGCAACATAAGACTTGTTAAAATATTTAACAATCAAATTAGCTTTTCTGATTAGTCAAAATGCAAATTCATGCTTTAGAATCTTTAGTGATAAGATTTATAGCATGTGCCATATATCTTAGATTTAGAATATACTGATATTGACTAGTAACTAATTTTCGTGCAAGCTTTATGTTAGATCCATTATCACTGATAATTGCAGCAACTTTTTTTAGTCCAATTTCTTCGATAATTTGTTGAATTTGTTGTGCCAAAAATTCACCAGTATGTGAATAATTTGAATAATCAGAAATTCGATAAATAAATTCTTGGCGATTAGGTGTAAGAAGTACAAAACTCCATAATGAAGTTTTATTTGGGCTTGTCTAACCATCAATGCAAATTGTCAGATTTAAAGTTGTTTTAATTATTTGTATTAACTCGTGCTACTTGTGTATCTAATAAGCGACCTAATATAATTAATTGCTAATTTTAATTATTATAATTTATATGTATTAATATATACCTGCGAGTACTTCACGTGATGGTGGATTATATTCAGAACAAAAAGCTTTAAGAAGATTGATCATAAATGGGTTCTCAATTATTTTGAAGGGTAAACCACAAGAGACAAATGCTATTATTAATGTTTCATCAATTTCTTTTTGATGTCGTTCTGAAAGTTTTGCAGATTTAAATTTTTTTCTCCTTTAAATTTAGATTTGGATAACTTGACTTCAGAATAAGTTTTAAGTGGAATCATATAATTTTCAACATTCGGATCATCAAAATGATTATTTGCAATTATATAATTATAATATCGTTTAATATACTCGGGGCAACTTGGGCATTCATGTGCAATATGAACTCTGGTTTTTATAGGTTTAGCACATCTAAACTCATTGTTACAATGAATACACCTTCCTCTGTAAACACTACAAGACACTTCTTCACTTAATTCAATTTCTTTCCAAATACTCATAAATTGACGTCCAATAGGTTCATAATTACTTTCACTATCAGAATTACTGCTATCAACTTGGTGTTTGTTTCCTTTTTTAACCATTGTTGTTATTAAATTTATTAAAACAACAATAAAATTAATGTTATATATATATATAATGTAGATATATATATACGTATAATTTAAATTTAATTGTATCATTCGATAATTATATATTACAACATTATATTATATTTGATTAAATTTAATGTATAATTATATATTACAATATTATATTATATTTGATTAAATTTAATTATATCATTCGTATAATTATATATTACAACATTATATTACATTTAATAATATGATATTACATTATGATAATGTGTCATTGTAAAACTATGACATATTGCGATATTATGATATTACAAAATTGAAATACTATGACATATTGCGATATTATGATATTGCAATATTGAAATACTATAGCATGTTGCGATATTATGATATTATGACATATTTTTGATCTGCAACAACTTGTAACTTTTAAATATAAAATTTTAAAATATGGCGCAACCCTAATTGTGACCAAAAAAAGTCGCAACTAATATTTACAGCAAGCATCACTAGTATGATGCATAAGTAAATATGTAATAGTTATATCCTGGACAGTTGGGTATAAGCAAAGATGAAATTTCCGCTTATACACATAATGCCCAGGGTATAACTATTACATACCCGCGATCTTGATGTAACATCATATATGCATCTGTTGAGGTAGCCTGCTAAATAATAAATAATAAGCTCTACGTCTGGTTTTTCTTTAGCATCATTTATTTTGAATCTTTTAGCAAGAATTTTCTATTTGTAAAAAAAGTCTTTATTGAAGTTTTTGGACCGGCATTATGAAATGCCGATCACGTGATCTTAACTCTGCCCACGGACAGTGCATGCTGACTAACATTAACTAAATTCACCTACTCTAACCCTAACCTTAACCTTAACTCTGGCCACTGAACTGTCCCTAAGAACTGTCCGTAGCTTCTGCAATTAAGGTAGAGACAGGCCATGTGAACCAACTCATAACAAGTTAGTATTAGACTTTTTGATTATTTCTTTGTCTTATGTCAAAATCATTTATTCACTTCTTTATAATTTGTTCCTAGTATGTATTCGTCTAATTCATCTTGGTTTTTAAAGTAAATAACGTCTATGTATTACTATTATTGGGTTTTCTTCTTTTAATTATTCGTTTATGACAAGTAATATATATCACGATAAGTAATGCTAATCCTACTGTAATTACAGCTACTGTAATAAATACGTAGATGGTTTGATTTGTTGTAAGTTGTATAGGGTTATAAGATGTAGTATTATTAACAACAGTGGTAGTTGATATAAGAGTTGTATCTGTATTGTGGGTTATTCTTAAATAATCTCTTTTTATATTTTTGGTTTCTATACTCATTAATAATATTATTATTCTAATAAATATAGTAAATATCCAAATAAATAATATTGTTGATCGGGTGGTGTAAGTATATTACAAGTTTTGCAATCTTATATGAACATTTAATTACACTAAATAACAATTAAACTTTAAAATCAAAAAATTGAACACTTATTATTTTTAATATCATTTAAATAATTTAATGAAAATTTTAAATGTTCAATTGCTTGATTTTGAAATGTTTTTATTTAGAGTAAATATTTAGAAAACATGATCTACAAGTTTTTCCTTTCCATTATACAATGGAAGAGGCATTTCATAGTATGGAAAAATCTAATAATTATGCACAAACTCAGAAATTATATCAAATAAAACAATTTTAATCATTGCATAACAAAAAAAACTACATACAATATTAAAGCCCGTTTTATGGGTAGTAAGCAAACAAAAATTTGATATCGATTCAAAGTAGGGACCTGCAAATAAGCATGCCAGGCACTATTATTCTGGACAGAAATACAGCACTCAAGTGCCTGTAATTTTAATTATGACCTAAACCTTTACCAATGTCGGTACCAGTGCCACAATGTTTTTAGCACATGCTAGCCTATACTTATGAGTTATGGATGACATTCATAATTTATATCAATTCAAACATGATTAATAATCAGCTAAATATAATAATTTTATTGGTTAAAACAAGCAGGCAAATTTGCCTACTCTACAGTTGAAAATGAATTAAATTTAGCGTTAATACATTGGGACCAAAGTTTGAAAATAATTATGAATGAGGACCCATGTTAAAAATTATTGCGTATATTTTAATAATCAAAAACGACAAGTTTTTTTTTTTGAGTGGGTCAAATGGTCAAAACCAATGTTTTGTAGCATTTCTTGTCGCTACAAAGGTGTAAAACTTGAATTGCTAAAATAATTTAGCTCAAGCTCTTTAAGTTCAGTTTGAGCGCCAATTAAATTTAAGAATAGTTCTCGACAACTTGCTATAATACAAAGTTTTTTTATTCATTATAGAAATTAGGTTAATATAATTGTACACAATCGTGTTTTGACTATTTGAAACAGCAAATCTAAATTCGCATTCTCTCAATTCTGAAGAATAGAACCATGAGCTAAGAATTAAAGGAAATGTTGAGCTACCTTCAGCCACTGAAATGTAGAATTTCTTGATTCTCTTACATCTTCGAAACAGCATGCTTTAGATAGCCATAAAGATTGATAATTCTAAACTAGGCTTAGATATATCCTGAGTATATTGATACCACAATGAGGTGACACTTTTTATCTTGGAGCTAGAATAAGTCTTTAGAAAGTTAGTATAATTAAATAAAGTTTTTTGGAAAATATGTGTACAAAATAGATCGACCTGATATGCGTTTGAAGTCAATTGGTGCTTTTCATTTTATCAAGATAAATAAGAAAAATAGATATAACATTTATCAAACCTTTATTTATATTATAGAAAGGATTAGCCCATAACAGAGGCACAGAAAGCGACAAAATAAGTGATTAACTAAAACGCAGTTATATAAAGTGTGGTGATCATATTCAAAGTTTTTGATAATTTCTAAATAACAATTGTCTGTTAATTTTGTTAATTTCATTTTAATACAGTATATAGGAAATGCGGCAGGTTGATAGATTTATATTATATTCAAAATAACGAGCTTTTAATTTTCAACACTCTTGTACAATACAAGAAATTGGATTATTTTCAATTGAAATATGAATTATTTGAATTTTGAATCGATCTGAATGGTATGTATAATTAGTGATGGTCTTAAAAATTAAAAATTTAAATGTCATATCCGTGAATTATTGAAAAAAATTTTTCTTCACAAATTATTAATGCGACAATTTAGAATCACCTTTTTTTCGTATTGTTAATCTTATCTCTAGGATTTATTCATAACACAGTGTATTGCAAATTAATTAAATTTAAAGCATGTCACAAAATTTTTACTCTATGATTAGTGGGATAGCAACTATTCTGGACTATAGTTGTTAGACGAAACCATGTGATGCTAAATGTCACATATCATTATTTAATAAAAGCTAGATTAAATTTTTAGGTATTGGTATTTTATGACAGGTGATGATTATCATCATATGGTTTCGTCTAACAACTATATTCTGGACTAACAATACATTAATTAGCCAATTATATTACTGAAAATCTTTATTATATTAATTTAATAAATAGGTTTGATTAGTTGATCAAACATCCTACCATTCATGGTCCGCTAGATAACGTTGTGTTTTGGTTGTTCGATTTACAAGAGACACTTATGCAACAACAAAAAAGAAACTCATCAAAGGCGTGATATGATAATTTTTCAGAATAAATTTTTTAATTGAACTTTAATGATTGTCTTATTGTAGATCACGTTGAAAAAATATCACTAAGAAACTAGCCTTTTAACCTGGACACAAAGCAATGGACTAAATATATTACACTACCAATCACCCTGAAAGCAGATAGCAAAATTTTTCAGAAAAATAGTAAAAGCGAAAGTATATTTGAGTGCTGTTAAGAGAAAACCTACACATTTTTGTGTAACCGAGTTATATAACTCCAAATAACATATTTTATATTCTAAAATGTTATTTGGAGTTATATCAATTAGTTGCACAAAAATGTGTATGTTTTCTTTTAACCGCACTCATTTGATTTTTGAATATGTGAATAATGTAAATCACATGATCTGAAATTTATTTGGGTGGCGTAGCCTAATTTTTTGTTGCGACAGCTATAGTTAAATCACGAGCACCTCACTTACACCCTTTTTTTTTTTTTTTATGGGTGATACTATGAAAGAACCAGATTAAAATAAGGCAGCGAAGGAAAAAAGCAATAACTATATATCGTCTTTATTCTTTTCTTAATCACGTTCTTGGGGCTTAGCTGTAAAGATGACTATCGTCATGCGTCAGGCTATAAATTCTGTTTCTTTGTTTTTATTTTATTTCATTTTAAATAAATCAATAATGTGAATATATTAAAAATTTATAACAATTTAGATATATTAATTAAAAGGAAAAAAATTTAAAATTTTATTAATTTATTTAATCCTTCGTGATTGCTCACAAATACAAATGTGGTTTTATTATTTGAAAAATCACAAATATCTGTTTCTAAGATATTACGATCATATAACCTTGAACATAATATATTTGAAAGCGACGCTGAATGAGAAAACGAAGCTATTTTTGCCGCTTCGCTGGTTGATTCAACATTTATTTTCCTAACGTTTGGTAACTTCATACAAATCCAATTCTTGTACTCTTCAAAAGCCTAAAAAACAAATCTTAGTTAAAATATTATATGTTTAAATTAAATAACTAGTAATTATTACATACCGATTCGTGACTATACAATTCTTCTATGCCCGAAATATCATTTTGTATCGAGAGTAATGCATAACTCACGGGTGTCTCAATTTCTAATTTAACTTTAAACCTTTCAAATAAATAATTGTGTTTGAACATATTAACTCCATTTACTTTAGTGGGAACTAACAGACACTCGTCAGATCTTATTATTGGTAAAATTTTAGTTAATTCGCTCTTTTTCTTTAAAAGGACCATTTCAACATTAGCACATTTCTCACACATTTTTTGAAAAATTTTCTGTGCAGTAATATGAAAAAGAACCTTCCGGACCGAGAGTATAAAATCTCCTGATCGAATCATAAACCAGAAATCTATTATTATGAAGAATTTCATCACAAATATTGTTCATAAACTTTTTGCAAATCATTTTCACTTGGGTTTGCTCTGCTCCTAATAAATTACTTTTTCTCGCTCCAGAGATATTTAATGAATTTAGATTATTATTAACAATCTATTTTACAACCTCGTCTAAATTACTTGCGAACACATTCACAATTTTCAATTTCTTTTTTAACTCTTCAGCTCTATCAATGGTATATTGAGTACTATAATCATTCGTTGAATCTCCCTGAATAATCAACACACTATCTGAAAATTCAACATTTTTATCGGTCCTATAAGAATAGTTGTCGTTATCTAATTCTATCATTGGATACTTATTATTGATAGTTCCATCTTCACATTTTCTACCTTTTGGACAGAAACCGGTAAGAACAAATCGAGTCATATCAGTTATATACACGATGAACTCTTGTTTATTAATCAATTACTTTTTTTATCTTTTGAAAACTCAAAGAATTCATCTTGAAAGATTCTGTCAATGCCCGTCTGGCCTCCAACACAAAATATAAGATCAAAGAACATCTTTAAATTGTTGTTAAAGGTTTAAAATTAGACATAATAGTCAAGATATTTGTAATTCAGGAACTAGGTTTTTTTCACATGTTTTTATAAAAATAGAAAATAAACTTTTTATTGTAATTAAAAGATTAATAATTTCATTTAATATTCGAAATTTAACAATATTAATGAACTTTTGTTCAATTTGAAAAATGTTCATTTTATTCAATTGTTTAATTCTTTAAAATTCATAAAAAAATCAATAGTTCAATTAAATATAGTTTATTAATTGAAATTCAGTATCACAACACTTTAAAGTGAAGGTCTATTCTTGAAATTAAATTTATTTAATGTTAACAAACTACATACCAGGGGGCACCCAGGCTAGGTGGGTGTCCAGAATTCTGTGGTGCATAATTCTGCTCAATCTAAAAATATTTTTCGTATAGTCTCCGAAAGATAAACATGACTTTAATAATTTTTTAAAAACTAAATACAATACAAAAAAATATTTTTAGAGCGAGCTAACTATAGAAGCTGGTAAAATTAATTACACCAATTATAGTTGTTAGACGAAACCATATGATGCTAAATGTCACATATCATTATTTAATAAAAACTAGATTAAATTTTTAGGTCTTGGTATTTTATGATAGGTGATGATTATCATCACATGGTTTCGTCTAACAACTATAACACCAATTACGGTTTTACCACAAAATCCTGAAAGGACCTAATATCTACAAAGTTAGCTGGCATTAGTTATAATGCTGGCCAATTTAGTCGATATTATGTTCTTTCAGGAAAATGGTTTTCGAGATTTTGTAGTAGAACCAGCGATTAAAACTGCGGGTTACTTTAAATCTATAGATATTCATCGGGCTTATGGCACAAAAATTTGGCGGTCCCATGATTTTTATTCAATTTGATTGTAAGATCAGTGTGTAACATGCAAATGCGAAGTAAAAAAAATAAAGGCGAAAAAAAAAACCAGAAATCGCAAAAACTCTTAAAGCCGCAAAGGAAATTCGTTGTATGTCAAAGTTTTTAGCTCAAAAATTTAGATAAATTCTTTCTACTTTGAGTTAATAAACATTAATTTTTAGACGAACATTAGGATATCATTGTTACTGAATTAGTCACGGGACTGCCAAATTTTTGCACCATCACTATTTCACTCATTTTTGCCAGGAGGTAATTTTGCAACCAGTTAGTACATCGTAAATTAGTAATAAAAATATCCCGTGACTTGATATAGTGATCGGGGTATTTTTATTACATATCTACTCAATATTAACCCTAAAAAAAGCCCATACAAATAGGTATTGAAATGTTATTTAAACAATAAAAAGCTTTTAACAGAAAATATAATATTAATTAAGGTCTTTTAGTGAACTTGAATTATAATGATAATAAGTTTGATAATTATACTAAAAATCAACCTAAATTATTCTTTAATCAGCTAAATATAATTTTTTTTCCTTTTCTTTTCGTGTGCAAATACCGTAAGATACAAAAATGAAAGTAATTACAGAATCATTGTCGTTATCACTGATGCATTATTATTGTATTAAATTTGTTCAAATATGTAGTCATCGGGACTATCACATGATCATTCGGAGCACAACTCTCTACACATTCATGATCATTAAACTGAACTGAAAGAATATCGAAGAAGCTGATATTAATAATAAGACTTGCACAAATAAAATTATATTTAGTTTTGCTTAAAATTATATTTTTGAATATATTGTAATTTTTGTTAATCTAATTCTGATAATATGTTAAAATAGCAATTTTGAAAAAAATTTATTCATTTATTAACATTAAAACGACTATTTGATATAATCTTAATGTGAAAAAAATAAGAAAGTTAAATATAAACTGAAGAATATGAAATAAAGTATAAATACTCCATTAGAACATATTCTGCTCCTACCGGATTATTGACAGAACTATTCCAATAATAAACTTTAAATTATAAAATATACTCTAAATAATTTTTCATACAAATGTTAATATTTGTTTAAATAATAAGAGACCAATCTGTGAAATAAAGATTTTTGTTCGAATTATAAGATCAGACTATCGTATCGCTTATTACTTACAAGTATTTACCGTTTAATCGTGAAATAACGTTAGGTAGTTTCAAGAACAGTGAAAGAAAATTTTAGGTAGTTCCAATACTTAGATTGGATAAGAAGAATTCATCCAATCTTAACTCTGGTGCATCATTAAAATCAATAAACAAACTACGGTATTTTAATCTTAAAATAAAAAATTTCTCATCTTTATTAGGAAAGTGATTATTAACTTCATTAAAGTATTCAAAAGCCCTTTTCTTATCTTTTTTAACACCTAGCCCTTTGGAAAGAAAATTTGCCATCCAATATTTGGCATCATAATTATATTCAGTATTACTTTTACTTAATTTTGTTAAGAGATCCCATGATTTAGAATATTTAAATCTTTTTCGAAATTCAATTGCTTGCAAAAGTTGATATAAATCTACAATAATTTCGTAGTTTACTTTTTTATGATATTCTTTTAATTTGTAAATTGTCATTCAAAATTTGGCAGTAAATTTACGCCGAGTCTACGGACAGTTCTTACAGGCAGTGCATGCTGACTAACATTAACTAAATCCACCTACTCTAACTCTAACCCTAACCCTAATTCTGGCCACTGAACTGTCCCTAAGAACTGTCTGTAGCTTCTGCGGTAAATTTATATACATCATGTGATTCTTTAGAAATATGTTTTTCAATTTTGGAAAAAATAATCCAAGCTTTCTCATATTTTTTCTTTTATGATAATTTTCTGCAATTTCAAGTCGTAATGCATCAACAATTTCCGCATCGCATTTTATAAACATCTTCTACATTTGATTCAATATAAATCTCATTTATAAGGTATCTAGCAATAAGTGTTTGAGATTCATGCTTATAACCTTTTTCATAGAGGCTTTTAAATATATCTCAGGCTTTTTTATACTCTTTATTTTCATGATAAATTTTCGCCTTCTTGATTTGGGCTTTTATTTAAAAAGCCTAACAATTGTTTGCAAATACTGTATAATATAATCAGGAAGAATATAAAAGAATCTTATTATAGCTAGTTAAATCAGTTATTATATAGTAAAAGGTGGCAATAGGCCAAAAATTTTTATTTTGTAATTTTGTAAAAATTATATACCAATTACTCTAATTTTTCAAGAAGTTGCATTTTTAAGAAAAAAAATTTTTTTGGCCAATTGCCACCTTTTGCTGTGGAGGTTCCCATATTCAGAAAGTGCGATATCATTCTCTTTACCACTAAATTTATCTTATTTTTAGCTTAATTAAGAAACCTTTCTGAATATTGTTTACTAATAAATCTGAATTGGAAAAAAAATTTGATCTGGCATTGTATCTTTACAATGTTGATAACAACTATCAGAAGGCATTAAAAATTCTTGAAGAACTTGCCAACAGTGAAGACATTACAGTCAAGTATAAAGCAAAATTTAATATCACAAAGCACTTACTAGATCCTGGAAAAGATTATAAACTAAATCGTGAAAAAAATCGCAAATCTGCTCTGTACTCCTTAAGAATGCTGCTGATAATGGTATTGAAGAGGCTAGAAAACAATATGAAAAAGAACTCAAGAATGAAAAACAATTTAGAAAAAAAATCTTCAAAAAGCATCAATTTAAAATAATCATGCGACTTTTTAAAAGATAACAAGATCAAGTGGTGCTTATAGTATTTTTGAGTGAAATTCACTGCTTATCATTGAGTGTGTATCTATGGATATGATTAGATTAAGTAAGGCAAAAGATATTGAAGAAATCCATTTTGTAATTTAATTTTAAGAAAATGCGATTTCGCAGTCACAAAGGTACTTCTATCAATTTTAAGTAATTTCATTGAAATCCAACTCTGCATAACTTATTCTCGTGCATAATCTTCTTAGCAACAGAAAACTTGTGTATTATGATTCAAAAAAATAAATAAATAAATAAATTTTTTTCTTTACTCGAGACCTGATTTTTGCAAATGTCTGCATTATTTTTTGAAGTTTAGTATACACTTTGCTCTTTATTATTCAGTATATTCTGCAATGCAGTTAAATGTGAATTATAAAAAAAAACTTGCTTATGATAAAAAAAAGAAAATTTTTTACATTTTTTCAAAACTTAATTTTTCTCAAATGTGCAATTTTTTATTATAATAAGTTTTATATATATGTAATTTAGGTATTAACATATCTGATACGGTGGTGCTTGATCAGTGTTATAAATTCAAAAAATTTTATACACGAACTATATGTATGGAGAACGCTAATATACACGCAAATTTAAATATATATGCGCTGCACCTACTGCGCGAATCCAGGTTGGCTGGTATTAATGCTATATGAAATATAGAATAAACTGTGAAATTTCAGAAATCAATTGTAATTCTTCATAAATTATTTAAGCAGAGTGTCCAGAATGATGTGATCCACTCATCCATTTATCAAGAACTAATTATAACAAGTATATAATTTAGATAATTAATATACAGCACATATATATTATTTTATTAAAAATAAAGTTACCTAAAGTTAAATTTTTAAGCCGATTAAGCTGTTCATCAATCAATATTTACTGTTATTCGTGTGGTTTCTTGATCAAGTCAAAGATTGCTTAAAATTTTTCGACTAGGAGGCATATAACCTGCATTAATGTTTTAAGTAAATCAATAAATAAAGGTCTTTAGCTAATCGGTCCCATTTAAATTACTCAAAAACTAATGCAAAAACCAATAAACTTCTATTAGAAAATGTAACAGAAAAATTGTTTTTTTAAATTCAAATTTTTTATAAATCTTGCTCAAAGTCGGCTGACAATTACTGGTACTGCGAAAATAATTTTGAAATGTGTGACGAGAAGTGAAACAACAATCTATTTTTAGGTTTACAGGTTTTCACCCTGTCACCCAAATGAATCTTACTAATATTCTACTTAGGATTATGTAATAAAAATTTCAATTAAATAGAATGATGCTGATTGTTTTTAATTTAAAAATATTCAGTAGATTTAATTCATATTTCTGATAAAATTTTTGTTCATTGATATTAGTCACATTTTTTTTTGATTTTAACTCAAAGTTTATTTTATATTTTCTGCAAAAAGTGATTATGAACCAATTTATTTGATTCAAATGTGTAATTAATTAAATAGTATTCAATTTTGTCAATTGAATTTAAATTTAGATAATGCTCATTGGTTTTAAAATATTTTAATATACAATTAAAAAGATAAACTTTGTTTATTGTATCAGACAAATAAATTATTCTAAATTAATCCCTTTTTTATGTCAGCATTAGGTGTTTTTTATTTAAACTATGAAGTGTTGAAGAATATAAAATTTAATGGCACACTAAATATAAACATACTATCATGTCTGAAGATTATACTAAATTAGTAACAAATTTATTGAAAAGACATAATCTTAATGTTACAAACATGAATAATTCTTTCTCTGAATATTCTACTATTAAAGTCTCTTTCGATAAGAAGCTCACCTGTAATCTTATTATCTGGCGCAAAAAAATTTCTAGTGCTGCTGAATATAGTAAACTATATGCTAGATCATTAAACAAAGATAAGAGTTGGATAATTGTTACTAAATCATTAATAAATGAAAATCAAATCGACATGATGGAAAAATACAGTTGTCAGACTAATAGATATATAAAAATATCTTGTGTTGATGAATTTCAAATCATTAATCATCTAAAAGAACTGTATTTTGATGAATATTTAAGTTCTAAACAAATAACATATCATAAAAAGCAATTGCTTTTCTGTTATATGAATCATAATACAAAAATTTTTAAACGCGAGATTATTGATGAAAATTATCAAAATTTCCTAAAGATCTTTGCACAGATGAAATAGAGGAATCATATATATTATTTTATTGATCTTTTATTCCTTTTTGATATCAAATTACGCATCTAATGATTTTGAAAATAAGGGCCACCATTAAATAATCTTATAAATTATTGTGAAAGCTTGTTAATTGCACTGGGGAACATAAAAGCTGTTAAATTTTACACTAAATTTTTACATTTCATAATTTTTTTAAAAAAATGTAAATAGTTGACAAATAGAATAAAAACTCAATTTTTGTCATTAATAATTTGTTTGTTGATTTTGAATTTATAAATTAATTTTTTAAAATTTTAAAAAAATTTCTAGTCAATTATATTAAAACCTGAATCTTCTGAATCACCTTATTATTAAATTTGAAAGTTGCAGTTATATTTTCTCTAACCAAAATACTAAATATAAATCTATTTTTATCTCTGTATATACAAGAGTAGAAAGAAAGGTTTGAGAGTTCGACGAAGAGCGGGCATTATATAGAAATTGAATTTGTTGAAATAAGATTTTAATATTTCAAGTAGTCTTTAAAGAGTCTTAAAAGTTTATCAAGCGTTCTTTTATACCTTTTATCATAAGCAAATTTTTTAGAAATCTTTTGTGTTAGCACAGCCTACTATCATTTTTTGTTTAATAAATATATTTCTTTAAATTATCTACTTCAACTTATTTTTAGTCTAGTTAAAAAAAATTTCGTTATAATTTTGTGTAAGATTCGGTAAATTGAAATTTCATGTAAGTATGACGTGTGAAAAATTACATGAAATTTAGTTTTCTGAAACTTACGTAAAATTATATGTAATGTAAAATTGTAATTTATATAACATATCCCTAGTTATAATATTGAGAAAATACTGTAATTCTGCCCAAAATTTATATTTTGAATTTTCCCAAATTAAGCTCTAATTCTACCAAATTAAACCCTTATACTTTAATTTTGCCAAATTTATAACTTCTATGAAACTATATAAGTTTCAATTCGTTCTCCGACGGCATCTTGAGGCCGTCGGAAAATAAACTGGGTTCGAATAATAAAATTTATTTATTAAATTATCAATATAAAAGCCACCCCAATTAAAAGTTCGATTCCAGCTTTACTTATTGATATAATAATTTAATAATATATATATTATATTTATATTTACAAACTGGTT